TGGGAGTGGTCGGATGCGCTGGCACAGGGTGCCCAGAGAAGCTGTGGCTGCTCCATCCCTGGCGCTGTTCAAGGCCAGGCTGGACACAGGGGCTTGGAGCAACCTGCTCTAGTGGAAGGTGTCCCTGCCCATGGCAGGGGTTGGAGCTGGAGGAGCTTTAAGCTCCCTTCCTACACAAACCAGGCTGTGATTCTGTGATTATCAGCAACTTCTCCCATGTGTGTAACAAGCAAAAGCCTCTCTGGGTTCCCACTAATGCCGTGTCCCCTCACCTTCAGGTCATGTCCCAGCAGCACATACCCAAAATGTTGATGTGATGCTCGTCAGTGCTGGCCGGAGCAGGAGCCATCCTCATTGGCAGGGCTATGGGGAAACTGCAGAGCAAATTCAGCATTCACACCACCAAATACAGGTAAAGCAGCACCAGATGATCGTGGCAGGGGGCTGGAACTGGAGGAGCTTGAAGGTCCCTTCCAACCCAAACCGGGCTGGGACTCTATCAAATAATTCCATGTCTGGCAGCAGGGTGGCCGATCTCTGCCTGGAGAGCAACTGGGAGCCCAGGGTGACAGCAGGGGGGACTCAGTGTGCTTGGCAAGGCGGATGTTGGGTGTCAGAGCTCAGGAGAGCTCAGGGCCAGGCTGGTGTCACTGGAAGTGGAGGCTGGTGAGATCAGAATTTCTGTTCTTCTTTGCACCAGCACAGAGCAAGTAAACACCTAAATATTTAGCAGCTCTGGAGGTGGAATAGGTCTACTCCATCCCACCTAGTCCAGGAGGTGCATTTGTCCATTCACAGCTTCTCTTTTGCTCTCTAAAGACCAATGTTGTCCGTCTCCAGCCCAGCCAGTGATGCCACCTCAGTCTCGCTGGAGCAGGGCACCCTGACCGTGCCCAGAGCATCCTGACCATGCCCCGGAGCATCCTGACTGTGCCCAGAACATCCTGTCTGTGCCCAGAACATCCTGTCCGTGCCCAGAGCGTCCTGACTGTGCCTAGAGCACCCTGACTGTGCCCCAGAGCACCCTGACTGTGCCCCGGAGCATCCTGACTGTGCCCAGATCATCCTGACTGTGCCCCGGAGCACCCTGACTGTGCCCAGAGCATCCTGACTGTGCCCCAGAGCATCCTGACTGTGCCCCAGAGCACACTGACTGTGCCCCAGAGCACACTGACTGTGCC